TCTTTGGTGATTGGTTTCACTGTTGGACTGCTCTTACTGTTGGAAAAAAATTTCTAACACTCAATCAGAATGTGCCTTGCTATAAAATAAATTTATTGCAGTATTTTGTGTTCTGTATTCTGGAATAATAGAGGACAAAACGTGATCAATTCCAGCCCAATCCTGAATGGGAAAAGACATTCCACTGTATTCTGTGGTACACCCCCTTCTTGGTCTAGACCTGAATTGGGGGGAAGGGGGGCAAGAAAAAAGTTGCAATCGTGGCAGTGATATTGCCCAAGGAAAGTAATTTTTACTGCTTATTAAGTCATTTGTGATACCATCTTACACAGAAGGTAAAGGAAAACAAGCCAGCAATTGGCTAAAAAACCCTAGAATACTTTGCTTCAAACAAATATTTCTGTGCAAACACAATCAATGAGGCTTAATTTCTGAGTAAACATGTAGGACTGGGCTGCATAAGAGGCACATCAGTTTCACACTGAAATTGTGGGATTTTTAAATAGTATTTTATTTTAGCTAAGTAGTGGTGCCAAACAGATTTTGGTTTAGTCAAACCCATTGGTGGAGGCAATAACTATAATATAAAGGATTATTCCTGAAACTCTTTATTTTTAATCTTTCTAAAGCAACATTTTTTTTCCCTTCCCAGATCCTCCGAATTTGCACAAGATACACCCCTGAACAAGATACAATGACATTTTCTGATGGCCTTACACTAAACCGAACTCAGATGCATAATGCTGGATTTGGTCCCCTGACGGATCTTGTGTTCACGTTTGCCAATCAGCTTCTGCCGTTGGAAATGGATGACACTGAAACTGGCCTGCTTAGTGCCATCTGCTTAATTTGCGGAGGTATGTTTGAATAACATCAACTTAACTATGGAATGAGCTGAATAGGCTTGTATGGCTCCAGATTTTGCCAACAGGGTTTTGGATTTTGATGGGCTAACGGAAGTAGGAGAAAGTTGCTGGTTTAAACCAATACAGCGTCTTCAAAGTTTGCTAGGTTTTGTTCAAAAATAAAATTTCCTTCCTTACAGATCCGATATTAGGAAAGTGTTATTGTTGTTATTTATTAAATTTATATGCGGCCCAACTCCCAGTGACTCTTGGCAGTTTGCAAAAGATTTAAACCATGAAAAACATAATAAAAACAACAAGAAAGAAAAAAGGGTAGAGGTAGCAGAGTAACAAACTGGGCTAACAAAAGAAAGCAACCTAACCTAAACGGAGGCTTCAGTCATCCCCACCAAAGGCCTGGATAAAGTGCCAGGTCTTCAGGCCCCTTGAAACACCGGCAGGGTGGGGGCCATTTGGTTCTCAAGGGGACCCTCGTTCCAGAGGGCAGGCGCTGTGAGAGAAGGCATGCTTCTGGGGTCCTGACAGATAGCACTGCTTAATTGAAGGAACCTGGATCGATTCAGCTGGGCAGATGCTATGAGAGAGAGATGGTGCCTCAAGTAACTAGGCCCTGTGCCATGGTGTTCTACTTGTTTTGGCTTCTCAATGTTCTAGATTTCTAGGAGATGAAATCTGGAGGTAGCTGAAGAAAAACAGAAAAGGGAGTCATGGTACGGTAACTGTGAAACGGAGAATTTCATGCAAAGGGATTGGAAGTAAATAAGGCAATATTGCAGTGCCCTGACATAAAACTAAACTGTGACCAGAGTTGGATTGCTATGACCAGTACTTAAAAATGGTTTGAATGTTGGAAAAATTGCAGGAAAGCACAGCCAACATCTAAATATCACTTCATATATTCCTTCAGGTAAAATTTGGTAGCAGATACATTAATGAGGAAGCATTAGCAACACTTTCCAGAGTGTTTAAATATGAATGGGGGAAAGCAATAGATCTAGCTTTCCTTTAATCATTTGCTGACACCTACTGGCACCCAAAGGCAATATTGCTCTGGGATCAAGGGATGAAAGAAATAAACAATATAAATGAAAAAATGTATACTAGCCTTTTAAACTTGTTTTGTCGTTTTATTTTACTGTTTTACAAATTAAAATTTTATGGATAATTACTGTTGAACTTTAAATAAATATTCACTTTTGGCAGTGCAAAGATCCACAGTTGGAGAAGAGGGAATAAAGTAGTTAACCAGTTGCAGCCCCACCAGTTAGAAACAAGTTGTGCAGTGAGTGTTACCACAGGAATGCAAGTTGGAATTGAATTCTGTAAACCACCAGAACAAGTAATAACAAGGAAAAATAAGGCGTCATATCATGTATTTATAACAATTTGATGTTTGGGTATAAATTATCTTAACTATTATATTTGGGTACCTTTTTCCCAGACCGCCAGGACCTTGAAGAACCAGCAAAAGTAGATGAACTACAGGAGCCATTACTAGAAGCTCTCAAAATATATATCCGAAAAAGAAGACCCAACAAGCCTCATATGTTTCCAAAGATCTTAATGAAAATCACAGATCTGCGCAGTATCAGTGCAAAAGGTAAGTTTGATAGCTTTTTGAGGGAGATGGAGACATTGCGCAAACAGGGAACTGCAGCAGTTGACCCAGCCAGTTAACTGTAAAAGGGATATACTCGGTTAAACTCCCTCCCCTAGGAAGCCATATCATTCTTTTGACTGGCCAGTGAGTTAATAGATCTTTTCTCCATTCCTGGTGAAAATGATGTCCTAAAGAGGTCCTGCTAAAAGACATTCTCTCTGAGCATTCCACCTCTCCTTCTGGCTCAGCCCACTCCTTGTGGATATGTGAGGCAAAAACAAATATGGATAGGTATAGTCCCCCTGGCTGTGACTGTGGTGGCACCAATCCTGATTGCATAATCACAAGTTTGCTCGTTTTTTAAAATGTTGCTTTGATAAGGGGGAAAAAAGTGAAGTGGGAAAGGAATTACCAACATCCTTTCAGGTTGTTGGGATGACTGGAAAAAAAAGTTAATAGAGAGACAACAGATCCAGTCTTTTGATATGATGAGCTGCCTGTGCACAGATGTAGGTCAGTTGGTCAGGGGAGGTTATTGCTTAATCCACTATACTGGCTGAAGAATGCCATTATTTCATGAGAAGAATCAAAGACAAAGAGTTCACTTCAGAAGTGTTCACATGGACGCCAAAAAAGTAAAAAACACCATACCCCTTTTTTTTAACATGCAGAGCCCCACAGATGACCTAATACGAAAATGTCAATGCCAGATTTCCAACCCAAATGTAAGAGTCTTTCTTCATGACTTGCACCCAGGGGTTGAAACATGTGACTAAGAGTGGATAAAATTGATTTGCCTTGAGTTCAGGCAGTTGTGAGTTCAATACATTAATATGTAAACATGTTCATACTTTTCAGTACAAGTCAGTATGCAAACAAAAGCATTTTGCCATATTTTTGCTAAGATGCTCAGTTTTGTTTGTAGGCCTATTTATACTGAATAATGTTCAGAAAACAGAGTAATCCAAAATAACTCTTAAATGTTGACTAAATTGACTAAAGGTTCATTGAATCCAGCAGAAGTACTTCTCTGACAGCTAAGATGAGCTCTGGGATTAGCATGGGATTTCCACTCTTGTAGTTTAGCAGATGGAAAAAACTGGAATGGAATGTTCTGAGTGCAGCCTTCAAATGTTGCACAGCTCTATGACTTATATTTTTATTTATTTATTTATTTTTGATACCAATGAGAGGGTTTAAACCCCCCCCCCCAAAAAAAACTGCTGGATAGACATTTCCCCCATGTCCTGACCTAAAGACTCCCCATATTTTGAACTGGTAGTTCTTTCATCTTAGAAATTGTCCCCTTCCCCAATGTAGCATTTTTCTGGGACTGGTCTTTAACTTTCTGTAGTATGGTTTAATAGTTGCTCAAATCTACCATTCAGTTAAGTACAAAATATGCAGCTATGATTTTAGCATATTTTGAGTAAACCTTTGATTTCTTGTTCCATAATGATAATTTTAAGACTTTGCAAATAGCAATCCAAATGCAGCTTGTTTATGTGGCCATCCAAACAATACATCTAAATAGTACTTCTCAGTTTTTTAGAAGTCCAAAGAAGCAAGACAGCACTGTAATTCAGTTGTCTAAATTTTTGGACATCTTTAAATATTTAGAACTTTTTGTTTTTAAAATCAGTAAAGTTCATCAGTTCTTTGTCCTAGTCATCAGCTCTGAATAGATAGAAAACACTCCTTCTAGTCAAACGCATGAGCAGTTTTCCTGTTGCTGTTACACAAACCAAGACTTGGCTTCTTGCAATAATCCATGTAACAAGATGAAAAAACATCTTTTAAAATTATCTAAGTTTCTTGTCCTCTGAGAAAAGTGAAGTTTGACTGGAAAAAAGTCCAACATATTAACCTTTTCCATTTTTCTTTTTTTCCTTGGCTGAACAATTCATAAGGTGCTGAACGTGTTATTACACTGAAAATGGAAATCCCTGGATCCATGCCACCTCTTATCCAGGAAATGTTGGAGAACTCAGAAGGCCATGAACCACTGACACCAAGCTCAACAGTAACCACAGTAGAGCACAGTCCTAGCATTTCCCCAAGCTCGGTAGATAATAGCAGTGTCACTCAGTCTCCTCTGGTGCAATAAGACATTTTCTCCAACTAAATTCCTAACTCTTCATGTACAAGGATGACATTCAAATATTGTCTCTACAGCTCCTTATTTTCTGAACTTTCACATACACTACAACCCAAAAGGACCAAGAATTGTTCATATGTATCTATATTGTGTGAAGGCATGAGTATGTATGCACACAGAGAGAAACACAGAGTAACTTGCAGCTTAATTAGAAACCATAAACTTTTAGAATACTAAAGCTGCAATCTAACACACACACACACACACACGTGCGCGCATTGGGAGTAAGTCCCATTAGGCCTTCCTTCTCTACGTTTATAGGATTGTGCTGCAAATCTGTGATTTCATGAAATAAGCAACCAGATAAGTTGCTGTTGTTTCCTTTGAATGTCCAACATTACAAGTGACAAGACTGATCTCAAACAAGGTTAAAAAGTTGTGGTTATACCATTTCTGATGACTTTGTACATAAAAAATATATGAATCTGTACTTTCTATACTGGATGTTTGGTGCTTTCCCTTTTTTCTTGTGTCCATGAAATGCCCCAGACATCCCTTAGAAGATGGACAACATACATGTCCAGATAAGAACGTTTTAAGAGACACAGTCTTAATTAGGATGAAAACTTACCATTGCTCTTTTTTAAAGACCTCAGTGTATTACTTCTTTCCCAGCAAAAGATCAAAGAATTTCACTGCAATAGCAGAAGTAACTTCTATGGGAGTGTAACTGCCAGCTCGGTTATTTGAACATAATTTGTTCTATTGTTAATGTCACTTTAAAAATATACAAAGGGTTTATTACTTGGTTGACTTCTCCACATTTAAAAATACAGAAATTTTACTTCACTTATAGCCTTCAAGGCAAAAACAATTTACAGTGTTATAATGTTACTTTACTTGCTCACAAGCTATTAGGGAAACTTGGTGGAATAATAACCAGGCATAATCACTACCTCTGAGTCGGTGGCACTAGTGAAAAAAACACTCTGGAGAAACTGTTCCTCAGCCCTCCCATTCTTTTCTCTGGCATCACAGGGCTGGCACTAGAACACCCAGAAGCAGACGATGGAATCTGCCTTTATGACTTTGCTAATCACCATAAAACAGAGTGAAAAATGTGGTAGAATGGTTACAATTTTTTAAAGTGTCAGTTTTTTAGGTTTCATTAAAAGCACTAGTGGATTTTTTTTATATATTCTAGCAAGTCTGTGATGTACTTTCACTGGCTCTGTTTGTACATTGAGATTGTTTAACAATGCTTTCTATGTTCATATGCTGTTTACCTTTTTCCATGGAATCTCTTGGCAAAGAATAAAATATATTTATTTTGACCTTGTGTAAACAAAATTTCTTTAGGGCAAGCCTCTATACACAAGTAAATGGTTTTATATTTTTAATGTTTAAACTTCATTTCAAAAAGGTTTGCTGTTTGCAACCATGACAATTAAAATGTGTGCTTTTGCACAGCTTTCTAGAACATTTCTACAAGCCGGTCAGACAAATACATGACATTTCAATGAGTAAAAAAGAGCATAAAACTGTAAGTGTAAGAACAAAATGTTAAAATGCCTACACACAATAATAAAAACCATCAATTACATCATCACATAAAATAAGTCAAATGTACAAAAAGTCTGCGACGGAAAAGGACAAAAGGACAACTTAAGATATTTGTTGGAAGTTTGTGTGCTCTTTCGGCACTTAATTAAAACATAGCAAAATCATCATCTTCATCAGACTCCGCAAAATACTTCACTTCTTTTCTAGCCCGACCTGTCCGTGGTCTGGAAGTTGTTTCGGAAGCAAAGTCAGATGGGAAGATGTCTACATCAGAATCCTGATCGAAGGCAGTTTTCTTCAGTTTCTGTTTTAAAGTAATTAGTAAACATTACTGGTGAAGAAGATCCCAATTATACAGCCTTTTAAAGTTCTTAAGATGCTATTTAAAAAAAAAAATCTGTATTTAAGCTAACCCATGAATTATTTTACAATGCTTTCATCAATAACCAGTAAGTGTATCTGGCAGATTAATAACTTACCTTGCTTGCAGTTGACTTGGGTGGTTTTCTTCCAGGGTTATATTCACCTTCATTTTCAGAACCAGATGCTTTCCTTTTCTTTGCTCCCCTGCCTTTTCCTACTAAAAGATTGAAGGGAGAATCTGCATCAGTTCTTTGTATGTTTTATACTAAATAAATTATATTATCATTATTCTTTTAATCAACAGTTGTTTTAAAGAGAAATTATTAAATATAAAATTGTTTATAGGAATTACTATTTTCAGATAGTAATTAACCAAACAGAACCAACATTTCTCTCCTATTATTACTGTATAAACAATTTGTCAAAATGAAGTCCTTGACTGAACTGCAGACAAAATTCGTATGTTAACTATTTTCTCCTTGAGAAATTGTGCATCCAAATTCAATTATTGTATTAATAAAAAGTGAACTAGCAATCTGCTGAATGTTATGGCAACCAACATGAAACTCCTTTTTTCTGATTAATTAGAACCATCACCAGTACCCTAATATCTAGTATCTGCTACTCTTTCAGGTAGAATTGCTAAGCTCTTTCTAGCTTCTAGGGTCTTCAATACTAAATATAGTTTGAATTTTTAGATATGATATGTACTTGGTTTTATTCTGTCTTTTAATTCTGCTTTATCTTTTATAGTTTTATACTTTGCCTATGAAAATGCTTAAAGAAGTTTCTTGGAGTTTCAGAGTCACTGGTGCATTGAAGACATCCAACTTTCTCCTTTTCATTGAAATTCAGAGGACCTGATCAAATGTTGTTCAAATTGGCTAATACATAATAGACTAAAACATAAAAATGGAAGCTTAACCTAGACAAGAGAAACATTCAACTGCTTTGCATGACGTTTCCCTCCATCCCTCACAGATTGAATTAATTTATGGATTAAACTTGAAAGTAAGTTTCAATGGTGTCTAGGAGTGCATTTATGCAATTACAATTCCTGCACCAACTGCACCTGTTCCTGGAGTTGTAAGATCTGGCCAAAGGGACATTGGCTGCCTTATCCCATGTAAAGCATCTGTAAAGCATTCCATATTTTAGTTTTGGAAAGCATTCAAAGACTATCTTCACAAAACTTAAAAATTTCAGCAGGTTCAGAATACTGCAGATAAAAATTTAATAGTCCATTTCTAATTCAAGGTTGTTGAGTGACCTATAGATTACTACACATATTGAAAAAAGGCTATTTGGGGGGGGGGAAGTCTGCCTCCATATTTTCCCCACCTCTGCTATGACAAGAACTTAAGATCAGGCCTTGGTGGCTGCTGCTGGACTCTTACATGCGTTGCTATGGGAAGCAAGCTAGTTTCATCTTTTGTTCTTCGGCCAGGAAGCAAATTTAGACAAACTTTGCATTTATGTTGACTTGTTTCTGAAATACATGTTGATCTAGTAGAGGCCCAGATACTTGATGGAATGCCTGTTCCAGAATGAGCTTTCTTGAATATTAACGGCATCTGAGAAGCACTTTTTTGCATCTCACTTTAGGAGGCATACATTTTGCAGAATACAAGAGTGGGCCTTCTTGGCTGTGGCACCAGGTCAAGAGTGAATACTTTTTCATCAGTCTATATGATTCCTGTATGTTGTTTCAGTTGTTTTTGCATTGGTATTATATGTAGTTTGAATTGCTTTTTCCTTTTTATAGTGTCTGTCCTTTGATTATTGATTTTATGTTGCTCTAAGATCTATGACTTAATATTTCTAAGAAATGCTTTAATAAAATTAAACCATAACCATTGTTTTTGTTTGAGTTTGGTGAGTGTAAATTCAGTAAATAATTGACATACTTTATTTCTAAATTTGTTAGTACTAAACACTAAAAGTAAATATACAGAAAAAGATGTCTTAACATACTTCAACTGCTGCCTTTTAACAAGAAAAGCAATTAATTTCATTGTCAAATAAGAGTAAGTTTTAAACGGGTATTCATAGCATAAGACAATTGGAAATTTGGAACATCAACTTTTTTTTTACCTTTGGGAATTACAGACTTCTTTGGAATACCAAATTCAGATTCTGAATCAGAGTTTATTATTTCCATCTTCTTAGGCTTAGGAGGTCTTTTCAGCTTAGAGGGCACATCTGATGGTAGTTTTGCTGTTAATTATGCAAATAAATATTAAATTGCAGCAGCACCAACAGAGATTCCATAAGGCTCTACTACTACTCTTTTTTCCCTTCCCACACCCTGGCACATGTAAATATACAGTGAAAGATCAGTGCTTGTTTTCTATTTTCTGTTCTGTTACTTGGATGACATGGGAAGTGTTAACAAAATTCTATCTACTCCTTAGACAGTGATTTCAAAACTATTACAGGGAGATGGACTTATCTGACGCTGTCAAACTATATCGTGACCAGCAATAACTCTCCAGTAACTCAGGTGCAAAGAGTTCTCTACAAGGTTTAACAGAGCAGTGTTTAACATGTTCTTATCTTAGGACAAGAAGATATTACTTGAAATGGTATTTAGGTCACACTTTATATATTTTATACTAATTATCAAGAGCACTAAATTTTACAAGAACAAGGTAACTGGTAAATTTAACACTTGCCTTTTTTAGTGACAACTGTTTTACTTGAAGGTTTCTCTGTCTGTTTTGGAATAAAAGAAGAGTAGACTGGTGTTGAATCTTCCTCATCACTGTCAAATTTTGATGTATCTAAAGAATACAAAATGTTTTTAATATCTTACATACCAATGATCATCTTCTCAACACTAAATGTAAATATTTTTTTCATATTAAAATGACATACTGTAATAACACATATAAGCTCACAAAGATGCTAAAAAATTTGAAAAGTTCAGCACTGCATTTTGGCATGCTAAATATATGTCTAAAAGTTTATGCTTCCAAAAAGCTCAAAACAGCTCATTTCACACCCAAAACAGGAGTTTTGCCCTTAAAATAGGATGATCCCTGAAGTTTTGCTCTTGAAATGTTTCAGGATGAAATGTTTTGCACATGGCAACTTAGGCATAATGAATGGGGAGGGGAACTGGCTATGCAAAGAGGACTGATAATTGATGAAGCAGCTGTGTTGTTGTTACTAGCTAGGTTAGTATTTTTCTCTGGAGCTTGAAGTGCTATATATGGCACTCTCCACAATAAACCTGTGAAACAAATGAGCTGAGAGATGATGACTGGCCCAAAGTCACTCATGAGCTTCCATGGTTGAAGGTAGACTTGAACCTGAGTCCCCTGGTTCTAGTCCATCCTATTAATCACTACACCACACTGACTGTTACTGAGTGAAGCAGAGTGCTGTTTAGGGGAAGGTAACCAGCACAGGACTAATAGAAAGTGTTAGCCAATGTTCCTCAGCTTCCCAGATAAGCCCTAAAGCAGGGATGTACAACTTTTTCTTGGGATTAGGGCTGTTCTTCACCTTTGAGAGGCATGCTAAGCCACCTTCAGAAGTAAACTGAATGTGATTTCCTTTTAATTACACTTAAATATAATTTAAACAATTCTTCTCTAGTCATGTATGTAATTATGTAAAGAATTATCACATTAAGTATTACAATGTAGTAACAACCTTGGGAAGTCTGTGAGGGGCACACCCAAGACCGAAAGCTCAAATAATTCACTTCTGCTTTAAGGTGTAGAAAGCAGGAAGCAGATTTGCTCTGGTTGCTGTAATGGACAGCTACAGATACCACCAGAAATCTCAAGATTTTTTCCCATCATGGTTCAGCTTTAGGTGTGATCAGGGTATAATACCTAATGCTTAAAGTAATTAAACAGCAAATTTTAGATCAGAAGGATACTGAATTCAACAAAGCACTATTCTAATTTATTTGTAATTGTGTCACTTCTCCCTTATACCTGTTGCTTTTTTTAGATTTTTTATCCCGCCTTTATGATGTTTTATAAATAACTCAAGGTGGCAAACATACCTAATACTCCTTCCTCCTCCTATATTCCCCCCAACAACCCTGTGAGGTGAGTTGGGTTGAGAGAGAGTGACTGGCCCAAAGTCATCCAGCCAGCTTAGCCACAACTCACAAAAATAAATTTTTTAACTACTTATTTTCAGAAACATAATTCCATTTTCTGGCACCTGATCAGATCTGTGAGGAAAGGAAAAGAAAACAACTTACATTTTCTTATCATCTTAATGCAACTGTGTTACATATCAGTTTTTTAAATGTGTAGGTGTTTCCCTGGAAAAGGGTACTCTCTGAGATTCCAAAGGA